GCTGGGGGCATCCTAAAGATGAGTGTAAGTGATTAAAGTCTGAGTCATTTGCCTGCATTTCCCTTGATGACCTGTGCCTCGGAGTGAGCAAGAAGGTGGAGATCTGGACCTGGTGGTGTTTCTATGGGACCCAGTTCCTGAGGCCTTCATATAGTGAGCAACATGCCAGGGTGTGTGATTCTGAGGTTTAGAGGTAAACATAATTCAACCATGATAGCTCCCAGGTATTAGGCAACTAATTCATCTGATGCTCAACTCCAAGAAACAATAATCTATTTCAGTGCTGGAAAATTGCCTGGCTGTATAGGACTTGTCCCCTGCAGCATTTTCTACAGGGATTTTCAAGGATAGTTTTGTCTATATGTGACTTCCTTCTTTTATGCTGACTTCTGATTCCTGTCCCGAGGTCAGATGTAGTTCATGTATCTGAATGGCAGCCTCTTCCCAGCACAGCCTTTGTGAATGTGCTGTCAGAGGAGCTGAAAGGGGCAGACTCGAGGTCATCTGTAGAGCCTCTTCCCCTCCTCCTTCTCCTCCAGGCTGCTTTTTGAAAAGGCTCTGTGTGGCTGACATTGATTACACCCCATCCCTCGGCAATATCCTGTTGTTAAGATGGTGATCATCATTAAAACAAATCTTGAACAGTGTAACATCTTGAAAGGAGCTTAGTTTGAGGGGCCAGACAAGTCTAGGGTCAAACCCAGGCAGCCTGCTGGTAACTATGTGGCCTAAATGATCTTTCTGGGCCTCAGTTTCCTTGTCTGTAAAGTACAAATAATAATATATAAGTTTGGTGTGTTGTTACAGAGTTAAATGAAGCAATACATGTAGAATGTTTAGCAAAGTGCTTGGCACATAGTAAGTGCCTAATAATTGGCACTGTTAGCATAATATTCATGAGATATTTATTGAGCCCTGACTATAGGCTTTCTTGGGGGTAAAGAAAAGTATAAGATTGATTCCAGAGCTATTGACCTAATAGAAATAGGAACTTACATGTGAAAATTAACTACAGAAGAAAAATGAGTGTTATAGCCAATATGTACTCCAGTACTACTCAAGATTCCTGTTCAGGGTGCATCTAGGAGCTCATGCCAGAATGTGAATCAGTGAACCGCCTTGTCCGGGAAGACAGTCTTGCTCTGAGGAAAAGTGTCAGCTAAACTACCCAATGTACTTAGTGAAGCAGTTGATTTCCATTCTGACCCAAACCTGGTACTGTCCTTGGTCCACACTTCAAGATCTCGGCTCTTGGAACCTGTTACATCTGCCACTTGGGGGAGCCTCTTCTCTTTGTGTTTAACTGTATTTTAGATCTTTATAGGCAATCTGGCACAATATTAGGACAAAATAGAGAGTTTGTTAAATTGATGTCATACACTTTTTGTTCCATTAAATGCAATAATAACCCAGGATATACCACATTGCTTCCGACCTCACCAGCATCTTCTACAGCCAGAAGCTATTTTTTTCCATCGCCGTGATCAGTGGAGGTGGTGGTGATTCGCTCCTCCCTGTCTCTTTGCAGGGGTTCTTAATCTTATTTTTTGTGTTATGGACCCCTTTGGCCAACTGTTATAACTACGGTCCATTTCTTAGAATGATGTTTTTAATCATATAAAATAAAATTTGTAAGGTTACAAAGGAAACCGATTATAGTCAAATATACTTATCAAAATGTTAAAAACAATTTGTAATAGTAATATAAATGTGTTTCATTATTAACATATAACAAAATCTAGCATTGAGTCTAAGAACTATCATTATGTTGAAGAAGTGATAAGCACAAATAACATTTTGATATATCTATAACAATTCTGGTGGTTAGGAAAACATCTGTGTTTTCATAAGTAACAAAGTCACAAGTATTGCTAACACTGTTGTGGTTTGTTGGTTGCATTGTAGTAGAGGGAATGCCAGAATTTCAGTGAGAGGTTAGTGAAAATAAATGTGTATTCTTTCTTCATCCACATTCAAGGACCCTGGCCTTCACTGTCTGGTTAAGAACCCTTGTTTTGGGAATACCATAGTGGGAAAAGGGGAATTCTGAACCTTTTTATTACTTTTCTTGGGACAAATATTTGGGGCTTATAATAAAATCCAATTACAATTTCAGTCCCTGGTGAGGTTCTATTATAATTTTTCTTTTGCTTTATTTGCAATACAAAGGAGCAAGTTTTTTCTCTAATCTATTTGTGGAGACCTACATTCTACAAAGGACTTAAACAAAGGCATCTCAGGGAGAGGATTTGCATAAAATATTAGTTCCTCCCAGTGCAGTTAAATGGATGCCTATATAAGCAACAGTTCTTGATTACAAAGGTGATCATAAGGTCATATCTATTCCCATGGGGAGGAAAGTTTGTTACATGGAGAACCTAGAGGGCTTAGGGCTTCTTTAGGGGAAATTTTCTTGAGGAAGCTATAAACAGAGCCCAAGAAAGAAAGGGATCTTGGAATTCTAGAGTGATGGGGAGACTTCTTGGAGCAGGCAAATAGATCAGCATTCAAAGGCGAAGGCTCAGTTAGGTGAGATGGGAGGTGTGTTAATGGAAGTGGGGAAGTCAGGCAGCTTTTGCCCAAGTGTAAGTATGAGGGGACTTGAGCCTAGTCAGGTAGATTGAAGATGGCTGTGATGGATCTTCACTGATATGCCAGGAATATGGAACATTATTGGCAGAGGGAATCAGTGAAATCTCTTAGTAAGAATGACATGAAGAAATTTCTCATACAGGAATATCAACATGACCATATGTTTTAGAAGAAACGGGTGTGAGAAGAAAATATGGATGATAGTTTTAGAATCCAATGGCAAGACTGGATGGAGAAAATTATCCCTGCTTTCCCTATCTTAATGTCTTCCATAATTACCTAAGGATAGGATTCACCTGGAGAGTTTAATAATTATGCAGGTTACCAAGTTTCTGCTCTGCAAATTATAACCCCATTATGCCTGGGATTTGTCATTTTTAAAACAGCTCCGTGTGATTTTATTTTCAGACAAGTTGGAAAATACTCCACAGGAATGTTGGTCTGATCAGATGAGAAATCACATGTGAGGGCGTCAAGGCAAAAATTGCTCTGGACAGAGTTAAACAGGCAGCCAAGACTTTATTCAAGGCTGTTGTAACAGGGGAGAGAAACCAGAACTCAGTCTGAACTCAACTCTGCTTAAATGAAAGGGGGGAGGAAAATACTAGAGTGCTTCAGGGGAGAGAGATGAGTGGGATGAGCAGAGCACGTTGACATATTCCCAAGATTGCAAATGTTTATCTCTGTGATTTGGCCACCTGTGTTTGCTAATTGGTGCTTACCAATTAGCAAGGTAGGCTTCTACCTCCCCACAGAGACTGGCAAATAGGGACACTGTCTTTCCAACTGATTACATTTCTAAGGGATGGCTCCTAATCCTTGAGAAAGACACTGCTGGGTTGTAAAAGTGAGTGAGTCTGGGAGATGATTTACATCTCGATGGGGAAGAAAAATAATTTACAATTATAAGTTTTCTGAAGTAAGTGCCCCAAGAAGAGGGAGGTCAGGGGCCTATAGTCCCAAAGAAGCCTCTCCGAAGTTTGGTCAAGCTGACAGGAACACTAAGGCTGTCTTGGTCAAGGGTAAGGTACTACTGCTAGTACTACTGTCTTCAGGGGGATAACAACTGATAGTGGAAAGGAAGAACCAACACTAGGACAAAAAAATCAACATACTTCCTAACCTAATGTTGGGAATGAATTGGAGAGGGGAAAAGTGAGCAGTCAATGTCCAGTGACCCTAGACACAGGGAAGATGAAGGTGCATTGGCAGAAATGGAATTTCAAACACAGTTGGCAGGCAGAGTGGTGGTGCCAGATGACCCAGGCCAACTTGGTAAAGCATAACTCTTAGTTTCCTTTGGTAGAAACAGGACCCTATAGTCCACACCATTGACAGAGAGAAAGAGAGGAAGCAGCAGGGCAGTGGGAGCCTCCCCTGGAGTGTGGTCTTTTTTTTTTTTTTTTAAATATGTCTTTATTGATTTCAGAGAGAAGAAGGGAGAGGGACAGAGAGAGATAGAAACATCAATGATGAGAGAGTCATTGATTGGCTGCCTTCTGCATGCCCCCCACTGGGGATCGAGCCCACAATGATCTCCTGCATCATAGGTCGATGCTCAACCACGGAGCCACGCCAGCCGGGCATGGAGTGTGGTCCTTCCTAACAGAGCCTGTAGAGCAGCCTGGACAGTGCATTTGTGATTAGCATCCTGTGTTAGCTTCACCTATGTCTCACACATACACACACGCACGCGCGCAGTGGCACCCTGTATATATACTGAAATATTTCAAAGTAAAGTACAGGCATTGTAGCAGCTGAGTTTTATGGGCAACTGATGACTTCCATTTAGCACAACTTGTATTAGAAAATTTTCAGAAAACTTGAGTGAGGAGGACAGCTTGAGGAATGGTCTCTGAAGAGGAGACAACTAAAACCATGGGAGTAAGATTTTCACAAACCTCTGGAGATGTGTGTATGACATTAATGTGCTTTACTTTTTTTTAAGGGAGTATAATGTGGGGAAAACAGAGATCTCAGAATTCACAGTTCTGTTAAGCAGGAGAGGATGGTCCCGGTGTTGCTTGCTCCAGCGAGGTCTGTGATGCTAAGAACTGTGCAAGGTGCAGTTGATTTGCTCACGGAGCACCAGCGAAGAGGAGCATCAGTAGGGTGGACTAGGTGGCAGGTGCAGGATGTAAGAGTGAGTGGTAAGACAGAGAAAGACAAATAGCACATGATTTCACTTATATGTGGAACCTAAAAGTCAAAATAAATGAACAAAAAAAAAACAACAACAACAACAAAAAAGAATGAGTGGTAAAAAATAACCAGGAGTGCAGATGGAAGTCCGCCTTTGAAAGCAAGATGTATGGAGAGAGCAGAAAAGTCACATGATTAAGTTACTGGGGAATGTATGAAATTAATGTGTTTTACTTCTTTCTAGTTACTTTTTTCACTGATCAGAAATGAGTGAACAATCAGAAAAAAACAATTCTACTGAAGGGGGGCACACAGGTCAACGTTCTCCTGAGAAAAGCTGTCAAATTGGACAAAAGCAACTGGTATGGCATATTGATACTACAATTCCATGGTATTTGTGGAGTTCCCAGTGTGAGGATTTCTGAGAGGCCCCAGACTTGGGAGGGAAGGTGGGCTCACTCAGGACTCCTCAGGAAGGATTTCTACCCCCTCCCCATAATGATGGGCCTTTCCTTCCTTTTAATTCCGTTTACCACTAAGCTGGGCTCACCTCACATATCTCCTCTGCGCCTCTCAGTCCCTGATTTTCAGCCCAGTGTACTGTCCTTGGAGTAGAATATTCTACAGAATATGGTCAAGTGCTTTTATTTAACAAACCCTTGGGTTTTCCTTTATGTGCTAGATGTGGTCCTAAAACTTGGTATATATATTCATCTAATCTTTCTCACAAGATACTATTGTTAACCCATTTTACAAAGGGAAAAACCGGGTTTAGAGAAGTGGGAACTTGCTCAAGGCGCACCATTACCTAGTGGCAGAGCCCAGGTTGAGACACAGGTAGGCTTGCCATGCTGTCTGTGTTCCTAAACTCTGCCTCTGCTACTGAGGATAGTGATAGGTGGGACTCAGTTGTACTCATTTCACAGCTATACCTAAATACAGAACTGTTTCATAAGGTTATGCTTGTAAAACAAATCCATATGCATACACCAAAATGAAATTTTAAAGATTTATATTATATTTATAATATATTTATATTATTTTGGGTGGACTAAACTATTATTACACTAAACAAACAGTAGAAAAGCCTGAGATTCTGTTACTAATTTTTTACATTGAAATTCATACATTGAAAGTTTCCCTATTGTTTCATATGTACTGTATATTAGCCTATATGGTTTTGGGCCACTCAGGTTATTTTCTTTTAAAATCCTTTAAAAGAGTACTCCCTTCCCTCATGACACATATGTTACATGTTCAAAATAAGTTATCAGGATTGCTTGAAGCATCTTTGTTACTTATGTTCCGGATTAGGCCCCACTTAATTTAAAATTATAAATATCCCCAACAGTGACTTTTGAAAATTTACACTTAACACCCTAGAAAGCCATTCTAGCAAGATTTTCTTCTTCAGATCTGGCTTTGAGAGTGTAAACTTCGGTTGGCTGCATCCTGCATGGAGCCCTGATGGAGCCCACACTCCCGGGGCAGCGAGGGGAGGACTGTGCTAACCAGTACCCGGGCCCCTCTGTGATCTGACACACTTTACCTGGGCTTCTTGAGCTAACAACTGTGGGAGGCCTTTACTCCCTGCCCTTCTTCCCCCTTAAAATGCTAATTCTCTCTTGTCCCCATCTTATTTGAGAAGCCAGCTGGTGTTTTGCAGGTATAAAAAGAATTCCGTTTCCGTTTGGCTGTTTTTTATATTTTCATTATATAAGTTTTACACTATGGATTTCTTTGTTCAGAAGGAATGACCTAACTTGAGGAAATTTACATCATCTTTTTAAACTTAATCAGATTTAAACTGGTTCTTTCGGTAATAGTATTTATCCTTTCATGCCATTATGGTAAAAGTTACAGAAAATTTATTTTGAGACAATGTAAAACAGATAAAACTACCCAGTTCTTACTACTAACACATTTTATTTGTTTCATAGCAACAGATAGAGCGACAGTTAAGATGCTTGGCATTTCAAAACCCTGGACCCCTGGTAGCAGACTTTAATCCTGAAACACGACAGCAGAAAAAGAAAGCACGGATGTCAAAGATGAATGAGTATTTTTCTGTAAAATACAAGTAAGATCATGATTTATTATATTTGATTTGTGGGATAATAAAATACATGAGTTCTTGACAAAGCCAAGTAATTAAAGATTTTCTCTTGTCTATGATTTAAAAATATGCTTTCTAAAGTACAATATCACCCCAACTTCAAGGAATAAACTATAGTCTCAAACTAGAATTCAGTTTTTAAAAACAGCTTCAGAATCCCTTGGATTAGAGTAACAACTTTAGTAGGAAAGATGATTAAAACTAAGAAAGATGTATCATTTGGAGGAGAAATAATATAACCATGGGAATGGATTTAGGTATCAAATAGGTACAAAGTATTTTAAGTACAATGATTGCTAGTACATCAGAAGTATCAACTAAGTAAACCATAAGGAAAAAGGCTGATAAATTCCACTGCATTAAAATTAAGAATTTTTACCCATTAAAAGACACCCTAAAAATAATGAGACAAAATCACAAAGTAGTAGAAGTTATTTATAATTTAAAAGGTTAGTATCTAAAACATATAAAGAATTCTACAAGTCAATAAAAAAAAAGATAACGTGCTGACGTGGCTCAGTGGTTGAGCATCAGCCTATGATCCGGGAGATCAAGGTTCGATTCCCGCTGCAGGTACATGCTCAGGTTGTGGGCTCGATCCCCAGTGGGGCCGTGCAGGAGGCAGCTGATCAATGACTCTCTCTCATTACTGATGTTTCTCTCTCCCTCTCCCTTCCTCTCTGAAATAAAAAATTTTAAAAAAAGAGAGAGAGATAAATGGCCTCTGAGAAAAATGAACCAAACAACGAACAGGTATTTCCTAGAAGAAAAGGCTAATAAACACTCAGGATACTGAACCCCATCAGTAACAGGGAGAAGTGCCCCACCCCCAGTCCGCAGAGTTTAGTGTGATTATATCAACATTGATGAAACTGCGGGACACCTACGGGACATCCCTGCCGTGTAACATTCTCCGGTGTTGCAGGGCTACCTAGGGTGCCTTTCCCCTGATGAATGCAGTTTGCGGCGTAACAACTGACCCTCAGTGTCGAGGGCAGTCGATCGCCCTGTCGCGTCAGCGTCCCCTCTGTCTTGGCAGGGTACTGAAGAAGTACGACAAAAGCGGCAGGCTCATCTGTAACGACGCCGACCTGTGCGACTGCCTGGAGAAGAACTGCCTGGGCTGCTTCTACCCCTGCCCCAAGTGCAACTCCAACAAGTGCGGGCCCGAGTGCCGCTGCGGCCGCAAGTGGGTGTACGACGCCCTGGTGGCCGAGTCGGGCGAGGTCATCAGCGCGCTGCCCTTCAGCGTCCCCGACTAGGGCCCTGCCCGCGCTCGCCCGGTTCTTCTCCGCCGCGGCCACTCGGCCCCTTCCTCTCGGGAGCTCCAGGGCTTGGGGAGAAGGCTGGGAAAGCACACGGAGCGGGCGCCCCCGAAGCTGCAGCCCCGAGGGGGCGGCCCAGCCCCTTTCGGGGGCGCGCACTCCACCTCCACCCGGGCCGAGGGGCGGCGCCGCTGCTCGCTCCACCCTCCCCGGCTCTGCTCCCGCAGGTTTAAAACCCACTTCCTCTCTGCTGGCATATCTGAGAAAACGGAATTTTAAGATTTTCAGAATTCTTTAGCTGAAAGGTTTTTTGTTTGTTTGTTTGTTTACATAGAATCTTAAATTTATATCTAGTTACCCTTAGAATAGTACACATCACTAGTTCTCAATCAGAATTGCTATTTGGACTTTTTTTTTTTTTAGAAAAAATACCCAAACCTTGTGACTTTGCATTGCATATTCGTAGTCTCATTTTGTATTTTTTAAAAATAATATTAAAATTAAATTTGGCAATGTTTTTATTAAAAATTTTATATGTTACTTGTAAAATTGAGAAATTAGGCCTATGTATATCCTAGAAGCCAGTGGTTTATATTGTTTTCATTTCAGGTTCAGTATTTCAGAATTTTTTTTTCAGGAGAAGAAAACAAGTTATTATACAAAATGCATTTGTATGTTTGCTAATTAAGTGTATTGCTATGCAGTTGAATAGATATATGATGTGCTTTTTCCAAATCTGATGCATTGTGGGAGATTTATAGAAAGTTGAGTTTGGTCTGCTTGGAATTTGTGCTTATAATCCCATTTACCTTCATTTGATAGACTTGTACCATAGATTTTATCATCCCACGTCCAGGTTTCTAGTTCATTATGTCTGAAGCAGGGCCCATGAATTCACATTTTTGAGGTGATGTTGGTGCTGCTGGTGTGGGGACCACCCTTTGAGAACCACTTCTTTAAGTTACATTAGATACATAATGTATGGAAGGGTTTAAGTAGATAATTTAATAAATGCCTTAAAAAATTATTAAGAGTATTTAATTTTAAACTATACTTTTCAAGGGCTTATTTTTCCTCCATAATCATTTTCAAAAGCACTTATTTCTGCACAGTCCACATGTCCCAGGGAGGGTTCCTGATGACTCTGGACTTGTTATTTGACAGTATGTCTTGAGACTTAAAATCTTAAACATCATGCTGACTGCAGTGCTCCTGTATGTGTAGCAGGAGAACTTATTTTGCTTCCCACAGAACTGACTGAGTTTTCCAGATCCAGCTCACTTTTACTGAGCCTAACGTTGTGCTAAGTGCTTCCAGTTAATTACCTTTAACCGTCACGGCAACTGAGGAAGATACAGAGTCAAATCACCCAAGTTAGGTCTTTTGAAATGCCCACCAGGAAAGTACAGCCCTGAAACCAGTCAAAAGGAATGGGGGCCCTTTTCCGGTTAGGTTTTGTTCAGAGAATAATTGTTATTTTATAAATGACTAACCAAATGAATTGTTTTATTACTTATTTTACAATCATATAATTTTTAAAACTGAAAGTAATCTTACAGGTTGTCTAAATAGTAAATTAGTCAATAAATATGAACCAAGAGGCTGCTGTTGGTTCATAAATTTGGGGGGTCGAGCAGGGAGTGAAACCCAGCTGCTTCCTGTCTTTATGGGTTTTATAGACTAAAACCAGTCGTTTTGGTTTGGTTTGGTTTGGTTTGGTTTGGTCTGGTCTGGTCTGGTCTGGTCTGGTCTGGTCTGGTTTCTACAACTGAGGAAATTTAGAACCAATGAGATAAAATCACTCTGTTAAGGACACTTCAAAGAGCTGGCAACCCTGGTGTTTAGAACTCTAAGCCTAGGTCGGTGTTCTCTCCAAGACATGGAGCCTCCGTTCCCCACATTTGCCTGATTGTAAAACTTATCCAAGTGCTTTTAATACTACACATTCCTGAGCCCCATCCCAAACCTCTGGAATCACCACCTCTAGGGATGAGACCTGGGAATCCATACTTTAAACAAGTACCCCAGGGAAGTCTCAGGAGCAGGTAAGTTTGAGAATCACTGCCTTATCACTAGTTGTCCAATTTTCATATTAAAAAAATAATCTTAGGGGCCCTGGCTGGTAGCTCAGTTGGTTAGAGCATGGTTCCCATATGCCAAGGTGGCGGGTTCGATCCCCAGTCAGGCCACATATAATAATCAACCAGTGAATGCATAAATAAGTGAAACAGCAAATCAGTATTTCTCTCTCGTCCTTCCTCTCTCTCTCAAATCAATCAAAAATTTTTAAAAACTTAGGCAAATTAGTACTAAAGTACTTTTCCCTTTTGTCTCTTCTTGTCATTCAGTCTTAATCTAGATGAGATAATCTGGTTTAAAAAGTGTGTTGGCAAATTATGTTGGTAAGTTTTCCAAGTAAAGCAATAAATAAAATACGGTTAAAAAAACTGCACAATTACTAAGCAGACACCTCATACTGCTTTCCTGGAGACCCGGTAAGACATTTGATGGAGTGCTTTTTTGGAAATCAGGTTATTTCATCCTGACCTAATGCCAATTCTATGCATTTTTAAAAAGCCTCCTGCCCTAAATGATTATTGCAAAAATAAATTTATGTGAATTGTCAGAAACCTATTTTGCATTTAATTTTATCACAAAGTGAACAAAGCTTTTTAGCTATTTGAACTAAATTCAGATTAAGGAAGAATACAGCTGCACCATCTGATTATGTTAACTGAGGAAACTGTCTTATTGTATTAGGATTTTTCTCTTTCTGCTTGGCTATCTTTTAATGCTGACAGGTTGTCTAAATGAATATGCATAGAAATGGCAAGGAAAGCTATTTCACAGAAGGTCGTTTAAATATAAACTGGTACATGCTGAAGAATTTAGACAAGTCATCCTATACCAATTTACGCAAGGATTTGCAATTGGAATGCCATATCACTTCCGTTTTCCGAATGACTTTACCTAATTTGTAAGAATCAAGGAACATCCGTACAGTGTCCAGATAATCCTTTTGTACTAACCCCTTCCCCACACAGTATCCTGGATCCATTTCAGGTATAAACCTTGGGATGCTAACTGACAGAAAAATCATTGAACCTCTCCTTTATATATTTATTTGCTTTTCTGGAAAGTGAACAAGGCCAACCTAGATGTTTGGGTGGGCAACCAGATTGTGGTTCTATAATACCTTGGAAACTTGAACATCGACATGAGCAGGGCTGCAGCACTTGGCCATGAAGGCTGTTTGTGGCTTAGGTGCAGGGGGTGCCTTCCTCATAGACGCCCCTGCCAAGAGTGTCCCCTAGAGCTGTACAGCCACGTGACCCTGCAGGCAGGTACCGTTTGATGTGTGGCTTTCTTGATTGTCTAGTATTTATTGACATATAGTATGTTCTAGGCACTGAGTGTTTAGATTAGTTTATATTCTTGTATAAAATAATGAAAAGAAAACCTTTGATTCCTGTTTCTTTCTACTTTTTCCTTCACTTTCCAAGGGGTCTAGAATAGCAAAAGATAGTTTTGGGGGTTATTTAGGAAAGTCGTCCATAGATCGGACCTAGCCTAAGCAGCTTTCATACTTTGTTTCTTTTTCAGAATCTATATTTTAATCGTAGATTTGAAATATCCTTTTTCATATTTACAGATTTCCTAAAATTCTGCTTTTCCACAGTATTCTTTACTCTGTGGAAGGAAAATGACTCTCTTATCATGACTATCTTTGTCTAATGAAGAGTTTATTTTGTGTTTATAGTTTTAGCAGATTTCTTCCCCCTCACTTTTGTACAGTTGTCTTTTTTAAATTGACCAATGCTTAGGTGAGATGTAATAAATTCAAAGAGATCGGGGACTGAGTTTGTTTTTTCTTCAATAATGCTCTTAATAGTTGTGTATGCTTAATAGATACATCACTTAGTGATCATTCATTCATCCATTCATCCATCAAGCACCTCCTATTTACCAGACACTTTATGAGGTCTTAAGAATACAGTGGGTAAGGAAAACACCTGGCATATGAAGTATGTCTGCCTTCCTCTCTCCACATCACAGAGTTGTCTTACTTGTTTTACTTACAATGCCACGCTTTTTTAGCTGTGTTTACTGAGAGGAATATAAAAAAGAATGTCTTTCTGGAAGTGGAAGTCTCTTTTCGGGCTTTGGTATCAAGGTAATGTGAGCCTCACGATGGAATTGGGGACTGCTTTGTCTTTTTTTCCTGTGATCTTTGTTTCAGATGACAATGTTATTTTTAAAAAAATATTTGTTGGAACTTGCCAGTGAAGCCATTTAGGCCTGGAAGGGTTTTTTTGTTTGTTTTCTTATAGGAAGGTTTTTTTAAAAAAATGTCTTTATTGATTTCAGAGAGAGGAAGGGAGAGATAGAAACAACGATGATGATGAGAGTCATTGATCGACTGCCCCCTACTCAGGATAAAGCCCCAAACTGAAACCAAGCATGTGCCCTGAGGGAATTGAATGGTGACCTCCTGGTTCAAATGGCAACACTCAACCACTGAGCCATGCCAGCTGGCTTATAGGAAAGTTTTTAATTATACATTTATTTGTAAAAATTGTTAGTCTTTTATTTTCATACTAATTTTGGAGAATATTTTTCTACAAATTATCCATTTTATCTAAATTTTCAAATTCGTGAAATAGAGTTGTACAAAATAAACTCTTACTATCATTTTTAGTTATACAATATTTCCCCCAAATTTTACTTATACCCCTTTGGAAGGAAGATGCAAACCAGTATCCTGTCAATAAATTCCTTTCCTCCTTAAGTTAGTCACAGTTGGACTCACTTGCTTATAAACAAAACTCCCTAACCGATGCAGGTATCATGCAGAAAACAGAGAGACGCTTACATGTAGCTGCGGCCAATTCCTTTTCTGCAAACTTCCACAAGAAATGTGTCCCTCCTCTTTCCTAAGGGATACATACCTAAGGCCTGATTCAAGAGGTCTGAGCTAGGGGCCCTCCCGCTGCTTTTCAGCACACTGGAACCAGTATGAACCAATATGCTCCCGGCAACCGGAACTGAAAAAGTGTTGATACAACT